TCAGTGTTCAGACCAATGAAGGAACGAATGAGAAAATTGTAGGTAGCATACAGAATGTTGAAAATAAAGCATATAGTGAGCTGAACGTGTCAGTTATCAGTTGCAATCTCTGGCATGTGAATAAGTGAACAGCTGTTCATGCTATTCATCATGAAAACGTATATGTGAGCTTTTTACACTAATGTCCGTTAATGGGGACAACTATCACTAGCCGTTCTCTCGCACAGTAGCCCATGAGCGTAATTGCTGGAGGGGACTATTAACACATCTCATGTCCTTCCTCGTAAGTTGGTTGAAGACTTTTGATGGAATTGACGCTTAGGATGAAATTCATGAGCACTCAGGCGCATTTCCTTTGGACATGTACATAAAGATTTAACGGAAAAGTGGAAGTTATAGGTTAGTAGTCTATCACAGAAAAAAAACGGAGAGTTAATCACTAAGACCATCTGAGCCATAGTGAAACTACAAGGACGTTTTTGTCTATACCTAAATCGCCTTCGCTCTCAGTCACCATAACATCCGTCATCCGGCATGCGCCACTCGCTCTCTCGACTAAGCGACTCAGTGAGAGAGGTTTATGGACGCCACGATAAGATAAATATTATACGATATTGAAAATATTCCATGTGTCTCATTTGTCTTTTTTTAAACTCGATCTTTTAACGTTGATATCATGACGGTTACTGTCAATCGAAAGGGCAAGTTCGAAGCTTTGCAATAACGGTACTGATTGAAAGGATCTAATTCAAAAAATAGGTATTAATTTTTCAAAAATAACTTTTACTTTGTTCGGTTTTATTTTCGTTCATTAATGATTACGGCAAAGATTGACGAGAGATTTAGTTTGACAGTTTCAAGCCCCGAATTAGGTGTCAGCCGTATATGGGTAGAATCCACAGAGGTTCAAATAACATTTTTGAACCTACACCTTTTTCAAACTACACAGATTTTGCTTTTAAGCTGGACAGTCCAAAAAAAACATAGGGTTAAACCTTTATGGGAAACTTTATATGTGCATATACTACTACGGCAATAATACGGCAATATTTTGCTGCTCGCTAAGAAGCTTGTCGTGAATTGGCTCCATTCGCAATTCACTCCAAGAGATCAGCTACTTGATGATGGACGAAAAATGGTGAGCTTTCTATAATAAAAAATATACTGGAGAAAGTATTACTAATCATTCTGCTTTCAAACTGCGTATGATTGTGGGTGCTTTGCTGTCTGCCTTTCATATTTATGCCACTCGTTGTATAAATGAGTGTTTTATGATGTTTTTATTATATTTTGCTTATGTTTTTTGTATTTTTTAGTGTTTCACCTCCTTCTATGTTTTCACTCCCTTTTAGATGACTCAGGAATAATGGATGGGTATAGCAAGGAAAGACACAGTTCGTAACCACATAAATGCAATGTCACTCCTACCCTCTACCACGTATCACTTGAATATTATCAGGCCCGCTGCCATCGTGACAGAACATTAATCACAAAGCTAACTTTTTATTTGTTGCCTATTAGAATTTTCACGGAAGGGTATAATGCGAAATACAATCACACTGATGCTGAAATATTTGCAAAACCTCGGACCGCAAGTGTCTGCGGTGAGGAACGAACGCACTATTACTCTCAACGCCGATTTGGGCTCCCTAAATCACTCCCGTTGACAGGTAATTGTTGATGGCACTGATTAGCTGAGAGAACCAGCTGAGAGACAGGCGAAACGAAGAACCCACATGGTGTGGTGGTGAAAGCGTTAGCCCCTGGTGCTCAACCCTAACGCCACGAAGTTATATATATATATATATATATATATATATATATGTATACATATGTAAATATATACATATATACAATAAAATGCTATAATATTTGACCTGTCCGTAAGTTGTGTTTGTAATTTTGATTCTCTACTAGCTCGTTCTAAGCACGAATAGCGGTTTGCAACCACTTAAGTGCACTGCCACTTGTATGCTCTACGACGTATCAGTTGAATACAATCAGGACAGCTGTCATCCTGATAGAACATTAACCACAATTACACAAACTTTTCTTCGATCAGCGAATGCTTGTGGTAACGACTTTTGGCACGGTTTTTTCGTTAATCCAAAAACAATCTTAATGGGCCTGAAATGAGGGAATAAGTCACCCAACTGTCAACCAGCAGAAGAACTTATTCGTAGCCTTGAGCGTCTTCTTAAACAATGATAGCAAGGTGACGATGTGAATAGAATAGTGCTTCTACACTTATTCACTTTACATCATTGGTGCCTACAACGAATTAAACTATGTAGGTTGGGCTTATTTGCGATCATATTCTATGATCTTATACTGCTCTTGAAATGCAGTGGGTAGAAATGTGTACAAAAATAGACGACTAGTCTATGGCTCGAACCAACTCCGGGCCAACCGGCCAACCAAGCGTTCCATTAATTCGGAGTCGGGAAATCGGTTCATGGTTTTTTAAGGAGTGGCTTCTTTTAGCTCACAAAGGAAGGATATTATCTGCGGTTAAAACCTGGGATCTGTTCTGCTCATATAGACAGATAGATAAGTAGATTCTGTAATTTTAAAGTAACTTTCAGGTTTATGAACGCATNATATATATATATATATATATAAGCATATATATGTGCATAGATGTGCTTCGTAATTATGTGGCGATCTGCAAGCATGTACTGATGTGATCGCTATATGAAAACAGGTCTCGGATTGTCGTATTTAGCTTCATTTATGCAAGGAACGACCGGTTATCTCGATCCGGGTTCGATCGTTTAAAAGCCCAAACATCAAAACCTGAACAACGTAGCCATCGGACCAAACCTTAGTTGGTCAGTTAGCTCAACCTCAACAATAACTATGGTCCGCTCACTTCTGGTCACAATTAGCCTAGTAGCCTTCGTTGTCGCATTTCACCGTAAGCGGGTTTCCATTGATTGCCTTCTTTTTTCTACTTTTTAGACTATTCACAGTTTTTAGATAAAATTTTAATTCTATTAATTTATTGTGTATTTTAGAATATCGAGATTTAAAATGTAGTACACCAACAAATACGACTCGAGGTGGTCCGGATAGGTACGGCATTTACTTTCTTTCGTATTTAGCATTAAGACCACCATAGTATGTTCTACCTGACACATGTAAAACTTTAGCACTGGGTTCTATAAAACAATGAGTGTTACCTTTTATAAAACCACTTTATATGAAAGAAAAGTGGTTTGGCTTCAGGGCAGAATGCCAGCTAATTTTGAAGGAAGAAGAACTTGAATCTGGACGACCTGTACCAAAAGGCATTGGATGCTGGAAGGTTGGTCGGTTACATAAATTCCCAAAATCCTGTGCAAATCCCGACTTTTAGAATAACAATCTTTTTTTGTTATTCTACTCTTACATTGTCTATGTATTGATCTATCTATTTCTTACTTTTCCTATTGATATGTAGCTAATCGACAAAAGGTGGAATGAAAGCAGTTTTCGCAGATTCATGACATTAGTTGCACTAAATATATAAAATAGATAGAGTTCGTACTTTCAGCAAGGCTGACAGGTTTTCTTCAGACGGAGAGCAGCTCTTAACTAAACCACACAATAAACAAGCTAGCGGAAAGCATATAAAACACTAAGTAGAAACCATGGTTAGCATTACAGTAATCATTCAATATCTATGGTTTGCATGGAATTCAACTTACGTTAGTTCGTATCACATGTTATAAGCAATTTTTATCTTCCGTGCTTTCACGAACGTTAATTCAACGGAGAGTTGTTCATCATGTGTCCGAGGACTGGAAAGCAGTAATTTCTTTAGGTAGAAATAAGAAAAAATTGAGAAGATGATAGAACGTCACATAGCTTTGATATTACTATTTAGGGCCAGGGATTACAATTTATGGATTATTTGAACTGCTATGGTAATTTTAGGAGGATCATGAAGGCGTCGAAAGGGAATACTGTGATTTAGTCTGTCCTAATGCTCACACTGTGTTTATCTCTTATATCGATCAAGGTCATCGAGCTTGCTTCAACTACGTCACCTACCAAATCGAAAAGGTTTCCTTTTGTTTCTTTCTCCCTTCTCCGAAGGTTTCCACGAGAAAACATTTTCCATAAATGTCGACCTGAAATCAGGCAATATAAAACAAAATTTTTAAGATTGTGAAAGAAAATTTTTTTTTGGAAAGGTGGGGCTTAACAGAGGTGGCTGCTCTCAAAGTGTTTGTAAAGTTTCCTTTTAAGTTGATGTTCTACTATTATGCTACTATCTACTATTATTAGAAGAATATTGCTTCCCGAACCATGTCCTTTGATAAATCTTCACATATTCCGTGGGAAGTTAGCTACTAGACAATACGGATAAAAAGGGTAATTCTCTCGCCATTGATCCATCCCNATCGATCAAGGTCATCGAGCTTGCTTCAACTACGTCACCTACCAAATCGAAAAGGTTTCCTTTTGTTTCTTTCTCCCTTCTCCGAAGGTTTCCACGAGAAAACATTTTCCATAAATGTCGACTAATACACCTGAAATCAGGCAATATAAAACAAAATTTTTAAGATTGTGAAAGAAAATTTTTTTTGGAAAGGTGGGGCTTAACAGAGGTGGCTGCTCTCAAAGTGTTTCTAAAGTTTCCTTTTAAGTTGATGTTCTACTATTATGTAGTAGAAGAATATTGCTTCCCGAACCCTGTCCTTTGATAAATCCTCACATATTCCGTGGGAAGTTAGCTACTAGACAATACGGATAAAAAGGGTAATTCTCTCGCCATTGATCCATCCCTAAGGGATGCGCCATGGATTCGACTTCACTAAGCACCGTTGGAAGTAACTGAATACACATTTGGCCTTTACAATGACTCGTGGTGGTCTAGTACTGTTCCCAGCCAGCACTGCCATCCTCCCAGACAAGTCTGGTACCAATTTTCCGACTCCCAATGGTTGGAGCGCTAGGTGGGCCTTGGGCGCGGGGATCGATCCCATGTGAATTGTAGGACGCCTCCCATCACTCCGTTACACACGCCCTGAATAACTAGACAGTTTTTAAAAGAGAGTTTAATTTCCGTACCAATTCCAGATTCTCAAAATTTAATAAGAAAATACGTCCTAAACTTTATTTTTAGCATCAAATCTTTTCTAGCGTGCTGAAGAACAATATCTGTGGCGCAGTGGGAAATGTCTAAACTCGACAGTTAACTACCGTATCGGTTGCAAATTTGACAATCCATTTGGCACTCAATTCAAAAGCGACAATGAGATTCTGGCCCGTCTACGTGCTCGTGCTCGTCGAGTCTAAGGAAGAAGACCGTCTACAGCCTCGATCAATTGGGTGTGCAATCATGTGCAACAATTTGTAGAATAAATACTTATTTTTTTGTCGAGATTATACACAGGAGACGAGCGTTGATTTTCTGAAACCCTAGCCTATTGCAAAGTCGTAAAACAACATCGTCGGAAAGATTTCTTTAAACAAGAGCTACCAAATAGCGATATTGACTCTACATTTCGTTTATTTTCGGACGAAATTCTCCGCCTACTTAATCACTACCAAAAACGAAAAATAAGCTCCAACCTCACAAACCAACAAAAATGTGGTATGCACCAGGTTAGAGAGCTTTTGGATTCAAAATCTGTTAGGCGCCCTATTTCAAAATGCTATTTTGACCCCGGGGTGTGTCTTACTCGCGACTCCACGAAAACAATGCGTGGGCCAGTCCCGCATGTAACATCACGGTGAGTGGCCTTCCTGTTCAATATGGTGTCTATTTGAAAGTTTGATCTTCACTAACACTTTACCGTGATGTTTTTTCTTTTTTTTTCTTTTCCACCGAATAGCAAGAATATTCTAATATTAAATACGTCTAGGCTCTGAGGAAGGCGAAGTCGCCGAATCGTCAGCCATCGATCAATAACATCAAAAACAACGGCAACGACAACGAAGATCTGTACCAACCTCGCGTCAGCTTAAGAAGATCAGTTTATAAGATCACATAAATAAATATATCAACTATCCATGCCGAGGTTCATAGAAAGTCGGTCTTTCGAGCGTCGGAAAGAAAATTTCTTCGACGATTAAACTAACACTAGGTTAGCCCAAAATCTTCATTCGGATTAAGTTTCGACCCCTTCGCTTTCTTTAGAATTGCGAAAAATCTGAGAAAGGCAACCTTTCTGAATGAATTGGTGGAGAGACCTGATTATTTTTTGATTTTAAGGAAAGGGTTTTGAAAATATAGAATTTACAATGTGCGTGATCATTTGTTGTTTTGTGGTGTTGCTCTGTATAAGCAAACACAATTGTGTGGTCATTATTCTCTGTTCACGATTAAGCTGACGTTTCGGCTGATTTCGCCTTCCTCAGAGCCTGGAGAGGTCAAGTTGATAGCAATCTACTCGGCCAGACGCCTCCATAACCAA